AAGGAAACACTATTTAATTTAAAAAAGGAGCCTACATTATACATTTTTCTTTGCTTTTACTCAACACTTGAAAATAAATTTGAGACAAACATCTTTAAGAACGCATGTACATGATATCAGAAATTTAAAAAGTGTTAGCAAAAATTGGGTTTGGTTACATGAGAGCTCTTCGCCAACAACAGCATTATTCATAGTAGAATAAACACCTGTGAAGCATACTGATATCTCTATTCGCCATAGTTAGTGTTGTACAGCATAGATAATTAGTAAGCGCGCTCCAACATTTTGCTTGTCAGAACCTGTTTTCATTCCTCCTGTTCACTCTTTCGAAAAGGTTTTTCACACAAAAGTCATGCCACGCATTAAAAAAAAAGAAAATCAAATGGCTCTCGTACTTTTACTTTAAAAAAAAAGAAAATATAGATGTAGTTCCATTTATATTTCACCAATTCAATAATACCTCTTTCATATTGGTATCTAACACACAAGCGTACAATGTAGATAAAACAATAATATAATGATAATACCAAAAACAATAATAATAATAGTAATAGTAACAATAACAATTATACTACTACTACTATTACTACTACTACTACTACTACTACTACTACTACTACTACTACTACTACTACTACTGCTACTGATGATGATGATGATGATTATGATGATTACTGTTATTTTAGCACGTGAAGGAATGGAAGCCTCTCCGGACACCAGCACTAAAACATTTTCAACTAGGTGATAGTCACCAAAACTAGGAGCCTTAAAGGAAGCAGGCATAATATATCATGGAAAACCAGTGTGTCAATTTCAAACAAAATTAATTATCAAAGTAAATGTATCCAGGAGAAAATATTCAAATTCACAATGTCTTGGTCCACCCCTCCCCCCCAATAATAGGAGCCTAAGTACTAGGAACAACAAATAAGCCCTGAACAAAGTTCCTACTTCTGTGGCTATCAGTACAGATTCTGTAGTGCGGTAACCTTATAAACAAGATTTATACTGATATATCTTTACAATTGCCCTTATGGATACGACCTTTTTTTTAGTAGAGGGTTTTACGGCGCTCGCAACTGCATAAGGTCATAAGAGCGCCAAGAGGCTGTCAACAGAGAAGTTTTTACAGGGAATCAGACTTAGATTGCTCACCTCACTAGCTTCAACAGCACAAGGTCAGCTTCGACTATCAAGTCACCCCAAAATAGCAGGTCACAAGGGAGTGACAAACATACAAAAGAAATAGAGGAAAATGACAATAGTAAGGATCAGGAAAGAACAAGCAGCAGTTCCCTGTTGTAGATCAGGCACAGTTTTGAGCGTGACATGAATCAGCCCATTTACAATTCTACTATGCTTGAACGAGATATGTCCCCCCTTTGGGAATGGCCTAAAGACACTACAGTCAGTGGCACCGCCCCGGGGGGTGGATACGACCTTTGTTCAAATAATTATTAGGATGGAGCCCGTTACCTAAAATAGAGACTTTACAGTTCCATAACATACATTTTGACTCCTACTAAAAAATTTAAATCAAATGTTTCAAATGTCGGATGAAACATCAGATACCTCTGTCATAATTGTATGGTGTCTCCTTCTCAAAATGAGCAATTTTTTAAAAAGTGACCCTTTTTTTATATTCTCGCTGGCCTGTCGAAGTGTTTAGCAAAAATTCGTGGGCTTGTGTAAATTCATTAAAGTAAGAATGTTTGCTGGTTTTTTGTTTGTTTTTGTTTTTTGTTTTTGTTTTAAAGTGTCAGACGAAAGTGAACAAGCTGTTACTATATAGAACAGGCATTTTATTATGTCTGTAACAATTCGAGCTTCAGTTTTGTTGTGATCGTTAGTGAGGTTTTATTGTATTTCACATGTTTTAGTTCACGCAATGTCAGGTTCACTACTTGATTATTTTCTCATACGTGAATTATCTTACCATATAAACATTCAGTAT